AATTTTTTATACAACATTTTTAATATTAGAAACATTTTATATAAACCATGAAGTTCATGATTTAAAAATTAATAATTTATAAAACATTTGCAATATTTCTTCCCCTTTCCTCTGTTAAAAATTTGATATATTTTAAAATTTTCTCATTTCTTTTGCAATATAAGCATTTTTCTTAAGCAATGCTTACAACCCAATTTTATTACACTCCCTTGATAAGTTGCACCTCAAGTTATACTAAATTTTATTATCCTTCAACTCGTGCTTTAGTTTTAAATTTGCAATTTACAAATTGCAAATTGCATAAACTGTGTGATTTCCTTGCTAAACTTCTTTGTCTGTTGCTAAAGAAGTTTTATTGCGGTTTACCTGTTTATGTGTTCTTATTGCATTATCCTGTACGGAATGAAATTGCATAAATTCCTATTACATTGCTATTTTACACGTTTCCTTGAGATATTTGCTTGCACTTTATTTTACCTTCACTTATTGTGAAGTATTGCCCGATTTGCACATTTCTTCTGGTTTACGGGTTTACGATTATGAAGTTAAAAGTTTTAGTAAGTCCTGAAGGCTACTTCTGTTGTTGTACATTGTTTGGTTTATTTGTGTGGATTACTTAGTAATATTCTATTGTTATATAATAATAAGTAAACTTCTGTTTTGAGAGAAAATTTAATACGAAATTTTATTTTGCCTTATCTTTTACTTAATTTAAATAAATTAGTTTTTTGGCTGATATTTTTATGGATTCCTATAGTTCATTTTTTTAAGCTTGAAAATAATAAGTGGAAGATATTTATGTCATGTATAATTTCCCGATTAACAAGGCCCTCATATCATAAGATCACATCTTTGGAACTCTAGTTGCAGTACTCACGGTTTTTCTACCTTTTCAAACTTCTTATTGGAGTTGCATCTGATCACTGGTATATAGGAACCCACACAAAGCAATTGTACATTCTTTTAATATTATTTGCCAAAGTTTTTAATATTTATCGGAAAAAGAAATTATTATAAATTTTCTTTGTGAATGCTTTCTTTGTGCTCTCGCTTTGAGAAGAAATTGGTTCCTAGAGAAGTGCTTTTTGACAGTTTATCAGACTGTTCATCGATAAGGACTAAATATTATTAAATTACCTAAATTGGTTGAATTGATTTTGTTGTTGTCTCTTTATATTTTTTGGATCATTGTGAAGAATGCATCTATTTAATTATCAAAATGGGTTGTAATGATTTAGTTGCTGTCTTTTTGTATCTTAAGCTTCCTTACGAAGAATGTATTTAATAAATTATCTAATTTGGTTGAAATGATTTAGTTCCTGTTAGTTTATATATTTATTGCGAGGAATGTGATAGTAAAATGTCTCAAAATCGTCAAATGTGGTCAGTTGAAAATTATCTGCTGACTTGGCATATCAACCAATTTATAGTTTATGTGTATTATCTAATACCAAAAATAAAAAATTCGATATATACCAACTTAAAAGTTATCTAAATCTAAAAAGAGGTTATTTATTTAAACGGACGTAGAAAACCGTAGGCTAGCGGCTCTTTCTATTTCTAATCCGAGGCCTATAAATCAGAAAAAAGTTCAACCAAGAAAGAAAAAGTTATAAAAACTTAATATTTTTGAAACAAAAAGCAAGTTGTTTAGTTAATTTGCTTAACTCAGTAGTACAGTAAAAGTCTTGTTTAGCGTGGTTACCTGCCATTACGGCTTAAGAGCATGGCACTCTACAAACACATGTATAATAATAATGCACCCCTAACCACCTTATTTAAAACTCTAATGAATTTTCGTTGGTTTCGAATGAAGTTATGAGTTTTGGACATAACTTCCCCTTTGGTAAGGAGTTAAGCCTACCAATAATTCTGCTAGTCTTTGGGTCTCAGCACCCGGTGGTGAATACGCAACTCCATGCCGAATGAATGATAAACAAATTCATGTAATTCTTTCCGCGTAAGTATTAACCACAACCACTACGAGTCTACTAACCATCACTTGACTAGGACAGCTATGCATGCTCCAAAACAGTGTCGGCATATCGCCGGGATTTTACTCGCCTCTTACGGGAATATTCTAACCACTTATCAGCGGAGAGAAGTCTAAGAGTACAGTATATAATAGATACAGAATAGTTTTTTCTATAAAATACAACTATAAGATTGTTGTATTGTTGGATTGTTGGACTTTCCCAACAATTTACTGTTTTTATGTACTAATGGCAACACTGCTGTTATATCAATCATTATGTTTTAGTTGAATTAAAAACGAGAAAGTTGTTTTCTCCTTTTTTTCTAAAAGTCTTTTTATAAGAATGAATACAATAAACGGGGTAACTGCAGCTAAGTGGAGCCGAGTACTGCAGCTAAGGCGAAGTGTTTATACAACTGAGTCTAAGTGAACTTAAAACACTCCGTCTTACGAATGAAGGCCAAAATGGCAACTGTTGACAACTCCTTTTTGATTAATTACATCCTGGCCGAAATTACAGCAAGACAATCACAAAGCATGTTATAAGAATATATCATAATATACTTTATCAAATAGGCGGATGAACATATAAATATATAATCTTATATACATAAGCTCATCCACCTTAGCAGATATATAAATATTCTGGAGTATTGTAAAACATTTAATAAAAAAAAATATTTTTTTAAAGTAAAAACTAAGTTTTAAATTTGAATAAATTAATATATATATTATATATGTAATATATATATATAGCTCATCACTTAGTCAGATATATAAATATTCTGGAGTATTGTGTTGCATTTAATAAAAAAAAATATTTTTTTAAAGTAAAAAACTAAGTTTCAAATTGAATAAATTATTGTAAATACATTACACAAAACAATAAGCACAATTTCACAAAACCATTATAATTCTGAGAAGAATTTATTTATTTACTTAGTAAGCATTTATTCAATCAAGCTGATTGAGTCAAATGTTAGCCCACATACAAGGCTAACTGTCCATTACTTATGCATTTTTTTCCAGTTTTAACAAACACAACATGGCGTATACGTAACATATTAGTTAATACATTTTTAATCACATTTAGAAAGGCGGTGTGTCTCAAATTCAACTATATGTTATATATATTATTTTATTATTAAAAGGAAAAAGTTTCTTTCCATATAACATACATTGTAAATGCGTTAAAAATCAAACTTAAAAAAATTATAAAAGAACACTAAAATATTTTTGAGATCAAGGTTATCGATTTCTCTTCACTTTAAGCCAACTCAGTATTTCACAAACACGATTTGGCAATATAAAATGAAAATTGCAGAAAATAATAATAATTCAAGTTGGGTAAGGACTTCATTATAAACATTGATACCAGAAACAGAAAAAAAGCAAAGAAAAACCAAAAATTTATGGATTAAAAGAATTATTTCACATATTTTGAAGCACAAAATTTTTGTTTTACACAGCACAGAAGCAAAAAAAAAATAAAATAAAATAATGTGAAGAAAGAAAAATAGAAGAAGAATCGCCACGCAATTTGAACGCATTCCATTACTAGTATAAGTGGAAAATGAAGAAAATTCCTTGCCATACTCTTGTTCACACACACACAAACGACAAACGAAGCACACAAGTGCACAGAAGACTGTAAGGAATTTAACAGTTGAAGAAAAAAGCAAGAAAAATGTTCTGTGACACGCAGTAGTTGTACTTGTATGCGTGTAGTTGTGTGTGCGACTGTGTGAGTAAGAATTGTGAGCACGAATTTAGTACCGAGGAATGCGTACTTTAAGCGCAAATTCCTTGAGAAAGAAAAAAAAAAGACATTGAAGAAAGGAATAAAGGAATAAAAGATGTAGTGTTTGCTGCTAGTCAATTTGAGTTGAGTGCTGGCATTGCCAATATTAAGAAAGCAATCAATAAGTTGAAGTTGAATCATAATAAAAAATGGACAGAAATGCTTTCTATCATGTATATTAGTGTGATTTATACAGCAGAACAGGACGAACAAGGGAAATTTCATTTTAAGCTTTCAACGATGACTGAACAATGCGCAAAAACTTTGGAACCAGTGAGGCGTGTACGTAAGCTCTGAACCATGCCCATTAGTTTTATTTTTATATAAAACAATAAAACTCATACTAATAACATATATACCTATATATATTTATACATAAAGGATATTATCAACATTCCTTAGGAGTTCTACATACTCCAACATCACTTCTGGTTTTCGAAAGAAAATTTAATTTCCATAAAAAAATTGTGGTGTTTAATGAATTTTTTCAAAAAAAGTTTTCTTTTAAATACTAGAGATGATAAAATTTGAAAATTTTGCTGAAAAATATTAACCATGCAATACCTCCATATTGTATACAATAATTAATCTTAACTATATTTTGCGTTGGATATGTGATTTTACTATTTGCGAACAGCTGCTAGTGACGTAAATAAAAAGTACAAAAACTAAAAGTAGAAATGAGTATTAATTGTTAAACTCGATAGCTTAACAGACAAGACCTTAAGTAATATAAAGATTTAATAAACTTTAATAATCTTAAGACCAATTTTGACTAGCATAATTTTAATCAATTCAATTACTTCAATTATTTAATTTTGGTTGGTTGGTTTCAGTGACAGGTTAGCAGATAACATTCTGTCGACCTTAATTCGCAATTTTTCCCTATTTTGCTATCACATTTCTAGACAGAA